GCTGAGTCTTCTCGTGCTGAAGATGGCTGGCCGGGATTCCCAGGAAATTCAGCAGAAGAAATCTGGGCCCTGGTGAATAGGGCTGGGCTGTGGGTAATTCTGACAAGGCCTGGTTAGGAGTTAAGTCCTGGTTTCTTTAATTTGGTGAGGTTTTTAGTTGATTGGTGGAATGGCTAGGTAGAGGAAAATGTGATTTTTCTTAGCTGAAAGGCCTCTCTTGTAAAGAAGAAGAAAAAGAAAAAAAAAAAAAGGTTGCATTTGTTAAGTTTGCTCATCCCATAACAGCTCTCTGAAATGGCAGCTCTCAGGCAGCATCGCTATCAGCATGGAAAGAAGGGTCAATGAGAGATATGCAAAACTTCTGGTCGGTAAGAAAAGTCCAAGGAAAGCTGAATCTGCCTGAAAACCGGCTTTAAGAGGATGGTTATTCTCTTTGGGGGGGGTGGGAGCAGAGAGAAACCTCACAGATCGCTCAGCTGTGACTGGAGCAGACGTTTCTCACACACTAGCAGGGGCAGAATTTGTCCCTGCCAGTGTTTTCTGCCGTGCACAGGGAGAATGTGGGCCCTGCAGAAGCCTGACCTGGCTGAGTGGGGGCTGCCCAGAACCTCCACCGAGATTAGTTCCACCCTTTGCACTGGCTGCTGCTTCTCTAATGGCTTTAATTTAAACAAACAAACAAAATTAAAAATAAAAAAAAAAAAAAAAAGAGAGGTAGTGAGGATTCTTGGAGGATGCTTCAGCCATTCAAATTATGATGGGGGACATTACTGTGGAGTTAGAAAGCCCATGGCACACAGCCATGCTTTCGTAAATTTGCAAGGGATGAATTTTTTACATTTACTTTTTCTCTTTGGTCAAAGAAAGCATTCTCCAAGGGCCAACTACAGAAAAAAGTCTCTGGCCTTCTTGGCAGAAATCCTTGTTGCTTACACAGCCAGGATTTCCTCCGCTCCAGCTCTTGTGTGACCCATGTTCTCAACGCATCCAGGGCCAAATGAGGATCTTTTTACTCTGGGTTGAATCTGACCACTTTTCTTATGTGGAAAAGATGCAAGAAATTCTGTGGGCTGATGAAAGATGGTACTGGGGATGAAGAAAGGTGGCCTGGGCTGCTGGCCTGGTGTGAAGAGGAAGGAAGGGCTGAGGACCAGGACACGGATCTGCTCCAGCATTGCCTGTTAGATCTGATGGGAAGGGGTGGGCTGGGCCCCATACCGGTGGGGGGGATACAGCAGCTTGGGGCTGTGCTGGTGGATGAACAGCTACTCTTTGTGTTATAGTTCATGACTTGTATCTAAGTGAAATTAAACTGAATAACCAAAAATGCTGTTCTGCAGCACCAGGACAGAGCAGGCAGTAGAAATTTGGTGACAATCTGGACCTGCCTGTGTTTGTGAGGTCTTCTTGTAGCAATACCGTGCCCAGGTTTGCCAGGGCAGTAGCCACTGGGCAGTAGTAGCACCCTAAAACATTGGTATGGTGAAAAGCAGGGGGGAAGGCAGGCGGCATCACGTGCAGAGGGCTCGGGAGAGGATCAGGCCAAAGTTCTCTGCAGCCCAGCTCCAGCTGCTGCTGTCAAACTGCTCAGCATGGGAGGCAGGAGGGTGTCTGCATGTCCCGTCCCTCCAGCCTCAGAGATTAGATCTACTCTGCTTTTTACTTGCCTTCAGCTTCCAAACGAGCATCGGCAGCAACACTGCCACAGAGAATTTTTTTTTTCTGATTTATGAAAACAGATGTGCCTCTGCTTTTTTTTTTTTTTTTTTTTTTTTTTGAGCTCATTTGAATGTATACAATGCTCTTCCAGCTTTGCAAAATCATCAGTTACCAGATGTCTTTTAAATTGTTGTACTTTAGTCAGAGGTTAAAACTATGTCAAAACAGTCACTGATAAGACTTTATATCACACCTAAAATACAGTATGATTTCCTCCAGCTCTTTCCAATGAAAACTTCTCTCATGGAAATTTTATGGCTCACAAAAGATTTGCCACCCACCCTTCACTATGCTTTCAGTCCTGGATTTACTGATAAATGCTTTTAATAATTACCAGTGGCTCTGTACCTCTTTCTGACAGACATCTCATCTCTCTGACAGCAGAGAAAAGGCCTATTGTAACTGGAATTAGGGCGGTACCCTGGTGAAAAGCACCTGCAGTTGTACAGTCTGGGTCCACGTTCAAATCTTCTCCTGTGCCTGAAGTTGTTCATGAGCAGGATTTTGGCCAGTTTTGAACCCAGGGTAGCCAGAGGAGGGGGGATGGTTGTAGATCTCCTGTGGTACAGGAGGGTTTGGGGTCCTGTGGGGCTGGGAGGGAGCTGTGAACGTTGAAAGCACGAGTAGGTTGGGCTGTGGCTGCCTTCCTGACTCTGCTCTCCAGGGTCTCATCCAGCCTCAGCACCAGCTGCCAAAATCTCATACCGAGCGGCTATTTTGGGATAAAGCAACACCGCGCGTTACTTTAGAGATGTTTAGAGATAGACTTAATAAAGTCAAGTAATAAGGTTTGACAAGCTGAAGATTAGAAAGAGCCATTCTGAACATCTGCCCTGGCCTCAGTCGTAAGAGGCTAAACGGGGACACGCACTGTCCCGGGGCCAGGATGCCCTCTCCAGGGATGGCATGGGCTGCACGGGTGGCTCACCTATTTGCAAAGCAGTCTGTGAACTGTGCCCTGTGAGGGCAAACCAGCATGGATAACCCGGCAATGGTCGTTTGCCTTATAAAAATAAAAAGGGAAGAAAAAAGCCAGCTCCCAAGTGCAGTGTTTCAGGAGCTGCGAGCAGCCGTGCTCTCTGTGCAGCAGGCGCAGGGCAGCCAGCTGGGGGGGGTGACTCCAGCAGTTGTCCTGGTGTAAATCATCCTGTCCCCAAAGCTGCAGGCTCACGTGGCTCACACTCATCCCGACAGCAAGCCGCAGAGAGCGGGGACCGAGGGGCCCTGCCACAGTCCTGAGCTCTGCAGGATCAGCGGGGCCACGCTTCTCCCAGCTCCGCTTGTCACCAGCACAAGGGCTGCAGAGCACAGCTGCTAATTGCTTGGGGCTTTTTGCTCTTGCTGGTGGTTGTTATTGTTTTGGTTTGGTTATTTTTTTTTCCTTTTTTTTTTTTTTTTTTTTTGTCGTAGGGCCAACCCAGAATAGAATCATGAGATCGGTGTTTATAACCTCCCAAATAATCCATACACTGTTTTTAGTGCTGACACTGTGCATGAAAGGCTGTGTCACCACCATGCTCATGTTTCCATGTGACACCGAAGCTTGCTGTTTTTTCCCATTTCATAACTAATAATTGAAATGAGTTTGACAGCCTTGGTTTAAGCTTTAGCTTATTGGTTCCCATGTCACAGACAGGCTCGGTTAGCAAGAAATTTTTGTCAGAGGAGAATTACAGTTCAGCCTTGAAATGTGCTAGCAGCCTGTGCAAAGTTTTAAATTCTTGACCAAAGTTAGATAAAGCTGACTAAAAGTGTGACGTTTGACGTACAGTGTCTATTTATCTTTTCATTCTGACCAAAAATACCTAGAGTGGAAGTAGTGTGTGCCTCATTTGCATCCAAGCAGAGAACAGTTGAGCTCCTCTAAAGAAAAGAGTAAACACTGCACTTTAAATATTTTTAAAACGTTTTCAATTCTCTGCAACTCTCCCTATATGTCTGTTTTATATATATGTATATATAACCTTTAAAGAAAAAATAATTACTTGTTTTCAAGGTGCAGGAAAAGCTTATTTCGTTGGTAATAAGAAAAAACTGTCAGCTCTCCCACAGCAATCATTCCTAGCTCCAAGTTCCAGCCTGAATACAGATGGAGCTTTGATTTTATCACAAATTTGCAATGAGTTTGTGCTCTGTATCCTGCTGTTAATCCTGCGGTGGAAATCAGCTCCTCGTAACACCTGGTGCCAAGACACAGCCGTGAGCCCAACCCGAGCACAGCCGGCTGCAGTTAGAGCAAAAGCAGCCTCGTGGTCTGGAAGCGGGCAAGTCATCGCCGGGCACTTTCACACCGAGAGATCCTGCCTCTTGGTGTGAAATCACTGCCCGGCCCCGCAGCCCTGGGCTGCCCTCCTGGGTCCCTTTCAGCCCAGCTATTTATTCGAGCTCCGTTTGTCTGTGCTCGTTGGGGACCGCTCCTCCCCTCTGGGCACGCAGCAAGAGGAGCTGTTTTTAGACAGTGTTTTTAGTTATAGTTTCCAGCGGGATGAGCTATCTCGCAGCACAGCTCGGATGAGGGAGGAACAGCATGTGAAATACAGCAGCTTCTGGGGTCAGCTGAGGAGCAAGTGCCTGCAGAGCTGGGAGCCCCGGGCTGCTCCATGAGCCCTCGGCGCGTCGGCTCCGGGTGCTGGGCTTCGTCAGGGCGATGCTGTTTACTGAGCCTCCCCACCAGGCTCTGGCTAGGCAGGGAGCATGAATGCTGTAGGAACTGAAGTCGAATGTAAATTCCGAATGTTTTTGTCCTCTTTGCTGACTTTCTGCCACCAGGTCTTGTTCTGTCTTTGCGCCACGGTTTCCAGAAGCTGAATGGAAGGCTTAGGGGGTTTTGGAGGGGCTTTTTGGGGAAATGTTTATTGCACGTATGCTTTAGATCTGAAGGGACCCTGAGCCTGACCTCTGGTATATGACATGAGTATTGAATTTCATGCACTTAACTCCCACAGTTTGTCCAAGACTGACCACAGTGCTTTCCAAAGGGAAAAAAATGTTCTTAAAAAAAGAAAATAGGCTTTTTTTTTCTTTTCTTTTTTTTTTTTTTTTTTTCAGTCTGTTCAACATTGTAGAAATGCTTCTTATTCCTAAAAACATGCCAATAGCTAGGAGTCAGAGGGATTTTCAAGAAAGCTCCCGGACAGAGCTCCTGATCTGAGGTTCTCCCTGCCTTCCCCACCATCCCATTGCCCTCCTCACACTGCACCCACTCTGCTCTCCTGGTCCTCTGCTGGGGAAAGGTCGTGCATTCCCACCCACCCCCAAAAAATTCAAATTGGACCTCTTTGTTTGCCTGAAATGAAATTTATTCTCCAGTCTATGATCTTTAAAGGCCAAAAATGAAGATTATTGTCCCAGGCACCTTTTTGCCGTATCTGTGGCAGACTATGAGGGAAAGCTAATGGGAGCCTTGAAGAGATAAATGAAAACAATGTTTACAAGGTTGGACCTATGCCCCTTTATAGTACAATTTTGTTTTTACAGCCATGGTTTGAGGGACATTAAACAAGCTAAGGGGGCAGAGGGAGGAAGAGGTACCCATTTGGGGTACCTCTGGAAGTGGAGATCATTTGACCCAGCTCAACAGCAACAAGATTAATCTGCCCATGCCCTACATTTGGATGGGAAACTGCCAGCTCAAAACATGTATTTATTATTCCATACAGATGTCTGCAATGAAGTATGAGCCATCACTGCTGCTTCTCTTCAGCACAAACCCAGTGGGGCTGGGCATCCCAAAACTACAGAGAAAAAAGCTGTCCCTACCACAAAGAGGTTTCAGACTCATAAAGTAATTACTTATCTTCGGCCATTAATTTCCCTTTTTGTTTTTGCAGTACCCACATAATTTCCATTCTCTCCCAGACTTCCAAAATATAATGCCAAATAAATGATTTAATGATTTCATATAACCTCCTGAGATAGGGAGGACTGTGACAGAGATAGTGCCACTGGGCACTGACATGCCTGAGGCAATGGAAGATTGGGGAATTCATGTGGGGCATGCAGAGATCTGGAAAGCTGCACCATGGCCTTTCCAAAATGACACAGCCGAAGATATTCTAGAGATTATCCTCCAAAATCTCAGTGGTCAAGGGTTTAATGACTCTCGAGCAGAGGTCAAATGTCTGCTTATTATCAATCACCTATTGCCAGTTTAACTGCAGTAATGAAAGCTTCTTGATAAAAGCTGCCTTATCGTCCGGAACTGAGATACCCAGCCTAATGTGCCCCTGCGAGGCTTGAGGAAATGCCCCTTTCAGCCAACAAAAGAGACGATGTGTCGCTTTCATGCTGCTGAATTAGGCTAAGTCAAATGGTCAGTCAAGAAAGAAGCGATTTCTTTCACCTCTTGGTGTTAAATGACTTCTTTATCCTTGTGCCAGGAAGGATCCTGGCTGCCGTGCCAGGGTTTTGGGCCCCAGCACATACACCTTGCTGGCCACTCGCAGTCGCCTGGCCCGCAGCAGCACGGGGCAGGCCCGGGGCACACAGGGGAAGCTGTACATCTGCCACAGTCACTTGGCTCCCTGGAGAAAATGGGTTGGAAATGGTATTTAAAGTTGTTGATTGAGATTTTTACGGATTTATTACCTGTTTTTTTGTTCCCTGTTTGGCTGCCTGCTCCCCTTCCATCTGCCAGCTCTGTAATCCACCTCCTCTTATCTCAGCACAGTTTGCTCCACCTCTTGCTCATTTTCATTTTATTGCCTAGCTAATCTCATCCTCCTGCTTTTCCTGACGCTGCTCCCCCCTCCCCATCTGTGGAGATTAAATCACTGCTCCTTTTGTTTGGTGCCGCTCAAAATTCCCTCATTTCACTCAGGCTTTGGGATGCTTCCAGGCACTTTTGCTGCTGTTGCACACATCCGTTTTCCTGGCACAAAGAGGCCCGTCAGCATCTGATGGAAGCTTTAGTGAGTCCTCGTTTCAACCAGTTCTCAGAGATGTCCTGAATCTGAAATGGAGCTGAGCTCAGCCTGGGACGTACACAGTATTACAGAGGCAGCTCTAGGCGTCTGGTCACTGCAGGAACATCAGCAGGATGCTCAGGGCAGCTCTGTAGGGAGAGCCTGGCTACTGAGAAAAAAAAAATCGAGGTCCAAGGCAAGGGCTAGAAAAATCTCTAAACTGCCAAAATGCAAAGCTTGCAACTGGGTGTCAGTAATTCCCTGTCTCCCCATCCTGGGAAATTGCCAGGAAATTCCCAATTTTCAGCCTGGCCACCCCAATGTGTTATCATCCTCTCTGTAGCAGCAGCAGTGTCTGCAACCAGCCCATTCCCTTGTTGTCCATCTGGAAAAAAAAATTAAAAATATAAAAAAAAAATCCCAACTCATGGTCAGCCTAAAGTAGCATTCCCCCAGAATATGCACTGTAGGAAGCCAAATATGTATATGATACATGAGCATACGTTTTCCCCAGAATTTTCAGATGTAGAGAAAACCAAGATTATGGATGGCATCAAACTGATAGAAACCAACATGCAACCAAAATATCATTACTCAAAATTTGATAGAAGTAGGACAGAAATGAACTTGGCAAAGGGAGTCACAAAAATTTGAAAGAAAAACTCCCTGTTCTTCCAGGAAAAATGGATTAAAGCTCTAATGAGGCTGAGGTAGTTTTGGAGTGCTTTCTCCTATTGCTAATGATGCTAATGATGTGTGAGTGTAGTCAGCCCATCATCCTTGTATACAGCATCTAGTGCTATGCCAGTACTCATGGCCTCAAAACTCCCTCATTGTAGTTCATCTTTTGAGAGTTGCTGGGGGTTTTGGCTTGACCACTCTCTGGTCAAGAGCGTGAAATGCATCCAGGTTTGGAGTCATCCCTGCAGGAACATCCTGCCCAAACCTCTTGTTGGTTGTGTCCCTCCACCTGTGTGACTTTACAAGTCCACTGATTTCAGTGATCACATATCAGATCTGGAAACAGCAAAACTGAGACAATTGCAAAATTGCTTACAGGTGGGGGATCACATCCTTTTACTGGCCTCAGCAGAAAGCCTCTCCTCGCAGCTGCCAGCCTGCTGCTCTCCCAGCTGCAAGCACCCAAGTGTATTTGCTGCCATGAGCTGGGTCAGAGCAAGACCTAAAGTCTAGCTTCAGATAAACTCCCTTTGAGTACATGAGAGATATTCCCCCAAGTGAGGATCACAGCTGTTTGAGTTCAGGTATTTATTTTTAATCTGTTTTGTTTTTTGTTTTTTGTTTTTTTTTTTCTCTTGCCTTAATTCTCAACTTGCAATGCCAACTGTGAAGCATTTGCTACATCCCCCTTCACTGCTTTTGTCTGCCAACGTGTTTTAAATAAGTTTAAAGAGTACAAGAGCTAAAAAAAAAAAAAAAAAAAAAAGCAGCTTAAGATAAAAGCCAGCAGCATGCTTTTAAAAATAGACTGGCCAGCCCTGTGAGAGGTGCCGAGTAAATGGGTGCCCATGGAACGGGGAATGGAGCGGGCTGAAGAGACTCTGTTTAAACAGAAGGTAAATAAGTGGCAGGGGGAGCTGCAGTTCATTTTGTTCCCTTACGTGTTGCTGAGATAATGCAACATATCTTCAGGCAGGCCTGTTCTAAAAATGGATGCAGCTCTTGGGTTTCACCGGGTGACACTCAGGCTGAGGCTCTCGTACAGATCCTCTGAAGCATCTGCGGGGTGAGTGCATGCCAGTGAAATAAATGCACACGGAGGCATTTGGTGTTTCAGACCTGCAGCAGCACTCAGGGCTCAGCAGTGCTACTTTGTGAAGACTTTTGCAGTGAAGGATGGATGTCTTTGTATTACACCGAGGCGCCTGATGCAAAAGGGGCTGCATGGAGATCCCTGGGGTCAGGCATCATCTTGTTAAAATTCTTTCCTGCTGTGGTTGACCTATGAGAACAGCAATCTTCTGACAGTGACAATGGCATTTGGTTAGTAATTTAGGTTTTAATTGTCCTGTCCAGTGAGTAATTTCACAGAAGCAGAGTTTGGGATTGAAGTTGGTTTAATATAACAAAACAATTGTCTTGAAAGCCTCCTTGGCATTTTAATGGTGTTCTTCAGATTAAATATACATGAGGAGCTGAGAGGATGTGTAAACTGAGCAGGAAATACAAGGGACCAAGAGAAAGACTCAAAACCTTGCCCAAACTCCAAGCTGCTATGCAAACCTGTGAGCCCCTGACTCCCTATGGATAGGGCAGACGAGCCACAGCCCAGGGAGCACCACTCAGCGTGCCTCTTTGCTGCTCCAGGATGTCTGTCTTGTTATCTCTCTGCTTACCCTCTGCTCTCCTGCCTAGTTTAGCTCAGCTCAGCTGTGATGAGGAGTGCTTGCTGCCCTTCGATGGCTGTGGCAGTGATCACCCAGCTCTGGATCTTCTCTGCTCCCTAGGAGACTGCATCTGAATTGAGCACATGTTGCTCACTGGCACAGAGAATTCTCCATTTCTTGCCTAAATAAGTCTTCTCAGACTGTCCCTGTCCTATAAACAGCAAATTCAGGAGAGAAAGGACAGCAGTGCTCCTTGGCCGAACCATGGTAAGCTGTTGTGTCCTCATTCCTGCGGTCTATTATTCCAATCTGTTCTGAGGAGGCAGAGCCTTCCTCCTGGGAATAGAGTGTTCCCCTCTAGCATTGGTGCCTGTTGGGCAAATTATTGCCTACAAGGTTAATTATCTGTAGAAAATGAGCTAGAATATTTGGGTGTAACGAATCATACTCAATCATTACTTTTGAGGAGTGACAAGCTAAATTTTTGCATGTTTTGAGCTTGTTTTAGTGCGATGCATTTTGCTATTTTTCTGCTTTCATTTCTAGATTTTGGGAAGTAAATCAACATGTCCCGAGCCTGTAAGCTCTTGCAATGTTTGATTATGCAAAGATTATGCAAAGTTTAATCTCTCCCCCAAGTTCCTGAGCTTACTGTTCCTCAGAAGGAACAGCAGGTCCTCTGGAATCAGTACACTTGTCCCCACCTTCACCAGATGTAATAATAAAACATTATTATGAAAACAGAAAAATTCTCCTGAGCTACAAAAAAAAAAAGAAATTATTGTGTTGTCCTAGTGCTATGAGTGTTGTTACCTGGCAGTTCTGACTGAGCTGTAGCACTCTCATCTAGGAAAGTACTGAAGTAGAATAAATGAGAGATCCACCTCCCATACCAAAGGAGCCTACTGGTAGCAAGACTCATCAGATCCTTCAAGTTTCTACTGTCCCCAGAAGCATCTCTGGAGGTTTTAGACCTATCAAACTATTAAGCTTAAGGCATAGATAGGCTTCATAACCCTTGTAAAGTAAGCACAGGCCAGCTGCTCTTACCTGGAAGATGGGTTCTGGAACAGGGCTCAAGATGAGATGAAGGACACTGTGTAAAGGAGGATCTTGATGAAAAGAACTTGTTCTTAGTCTGTTTCAAGAGTCATTGTGCATCTGGGAGGGGGAGCTGAAGCCTGACACCAGCTGTTTCTTGTATATGATTATTATTTTATTATTTATTTATTTATTTATTTATTTTGGTGTGGCACCAAGGTTCAGCTGGTTCAAGATTTGGGGAGGTGCCAGTAGGATGATTTGAATTCACAGCATTTCTTTTAAATAGATCAGTGGTTATAGGGAGTGACTGGGACTGCTGCAAGCTGGCAGACTGCTGGTCTTTGCCAACTTGTGGCCTCTGGAGTTGCTTGACTGAAGAGATCTGACAAACCTTTATGTCTCTTGAAGGCACACATTGGTGTCAGCCCAGACTGTGAATATTGCTTCTGTCCCCACTGCCAGAAGACATTTGTCTCATTCATGGAACAAAGAGAACTTAGAGTTATCAGAGACAAACATATATATGTCAGACAGACATATAATGTTGCTGCTAATTATAAGTAAGAAACTAATACAGGTTGGGACTAAATTAGTCCATTTTGCCCCCATGTTTTCACAGTTGCCCTGACTGTAGCTGAGAGGGTTATGTTCTGAGCTGTAACCTACTCATACTGGTCTTGTCTTGGCTGATGTGGTTGCTCTTAGCATGATCACGTGCTGACTCCCTCTTACCAAGTGCTATAAAATACATCATTCTAACACAAAGTGGAAATTTCTCCTTAGGGTGTGCAGCTCTTACAGGAGGCAGGCAGTGGGGGTGACTGCTTATAGACCTGGGTGTGACTGCTTATAGACCTGGCCCCACACTTTCAGATGTGAATTCATATAGAACATCTTCTGTGAGAGCAGCTATTCTTGCTCCTGCCAAACTGCTGTGAAGACCCACACAATGATGTTAATTGTAAACCACAAGCAGGCTCTTATCTTCGAATTGTTTTTCTCTAACAGTTTTGAGAAGAGCTCGGCATGTTCTCAGTAGGAGCTGATAGATGCTGAGCACTTCTGAAATCCTGCCAATTTCATTTTGGTTCCTAAATGGGAACTGAGTGCTTTTGAGCATATGATCCTAAGGGTGCATTTTATAACACTGCAGCTCTGTCCGTATCATTTCTTTCCTCTACTGCTGTCCCCAGAGTGCTCCCAGCAGTGGCAATAACACTAGCAGCACCAGGCTAGTCTAGGCTTGAGTGATGTCTCAGTTATTATGTCGTCCCAGGCAACACTGAATGGAATTAAATGGCAGCAGTTAAAAGGCGGGTGCCTGCCAGCATCCTGTCTGCAGCAGGGTCCCTCCCCATCACTGCTATCAGCAGTACGGATACAACTTAAATGGTTGTAATGGACTTTATGTATGTATGTATATATAAAAACAGAGCTCTAATGCAAACTCTGCCTTCTTTTTTGGAGTATTTCTTCTTGAGTTTCAGGCTATATACACTGTATTTGATGATGCTCAATGTCTCAATTTCAGGATTCAGACTTCCTTTATTGGAGCAAAAATGATGGATATTTTTTAGAGCTTATGGGGAAGAGGAGAGGGGAAGATAGGCCTTTATGTGAAGCTTTTCCAGCAGAGTTAGTGTGTGGAAGGCATCTGTTTTGGTCCTGTGAGGCTGACATCTTCTCCCAGCAGACTTGGCAGCAAGAGGAAGAGCCACATGTCAGAAAATCTGGGGGCCCACGCACTGTGGACAAAAGTATGGCAAAGAGTTTAAACATCAGCAACTGGAGTGCTGTTGGAGGGCTGGCTAAAAGCGATTAGCCTAGCGCTCTGGAATGTGGAGCTTCAATAGCCGCTCCAGAAAGATCTGCAGCCCCATTGACTTTTGCAGCGTCAGTAAAGAGCCCCTGCATGCTGGCTTTTGCCAGTCTGAATGGATGAACGTGCGGGGCAGTGTGTGCAGGGATCACAGAGCTCGCTGCTCTGGCTGCTCACAGGGCATTACGCACCATGCCCCACGTGCTTGGGGGTTTTCCTTTGCTCCAGAAACATCTGACACCCCAATGACTCAGGTGGCTAACAGGGCACTCGTGCATTGCCAAGAACCCCCCTGAAAGTCGTTATCAGTGTTAGGCCATAACCTTGTTGTTTGTTTGCACCGGGCCAAAGCAACAGGAGCGTTATTTGGCTGTGAGCTGACTATTGTTAGCTGGTGGCAGCGTGGGGCTGGGTGTTTGTGTTACTGCTGCCTAGGTTTTGGTCTCATTGGGAATGCACCCAGCAGGACTGAGCACGTCTCTGTGGTCAGAATTCACTTGATTCGTTTCCTTTTCTATTATTTTTTTTTCCCTTCTGATTTCTAGGTAGATAAAATGTGGAATCAATTAAAAATGAAGCTGGGAAGGAGCTGTGCCTGATGTGAGCACATGCATTTTTAGTTGAGGTGGGAAAAGAATGGACTCATTCAAGCCCTCGTTTAGGCCAGGGAATTCCCTAGCTTTTGTCTAAATATGGCATGCAAGAGCAGAGCACAGGCAACGCAATACTTCACGGAGTATTGTTTAAAAGGGTGTTTGGCACCATTCAGCAAGTAGGATTCTTGTAAAAACATGGCACAAGGAGTTGTTTGACAGATTTTGACATAGCAAAGTCTTTACAAGAGGTGGAAAAAAAAAATAAAAGAATGAAAAGAAACTACAGAGTACATAAAGCCAAAAGCATGCTCTCTGCCCAGGCAGAAGGTAGAATAAAAGGAACTTAGCACCGACTCCTGTCCTGCATGGTACATGGGTCTGATTGCATTAGTGACCGATATCACCGAGTTTAAAACGTTGCCTGTGGTCAGTCATTATTAGAGAAATGATGGTGATAATGAAGTGAGAGCTGGGGAAGATGGTGCTATTGCTTGAATCCCCTGACCAGGGCCTACCCCAGGCTTTCCTGCCTGGATTGGCCTGTCCTCTGCTGTCCTGCTGTCGCTGTGAGTGTTTCACCATGCAGGTAGTGGCACGTCACCGCCAGAGCTCTGGGTGCAGTGCTCACTATCATGCAGTCCCTTGGGCTTGGTAGTTTTTTTCCTTTTTGCAAAGCTCACACTGAGTTGCTGTGACTGTGAATACCTCTCACAGCAGTGAGCAATGATTCGTGCCTGGAAGAAAGCCCGTCTCCCACTGCTTCAGACACGTCTGTAGACACTGGGAGTCCTTCAGAGCACAAAGGCCTGTACACATCTCAGCAATGGAGAATTTTGTCTCTAAAATCTCCAGTCTGCTCTTGAAGCATGGCCATTATGTCCATGTGTTTTGAGGGAAGGAAAATTTCTCTGGGATTCAGACCACTTCTGGAGGCCTCCGGAGCCCACATCTCATCTGGTGGCTGGTGCCAGCTACCCATCAGCTCGTGTGGCTCGTATGGAGAAAATCTTGGCTCAGCCTTCGCTGTACAAAGTGAAGCCCTTCTCTGAACCCATCGCAAACACAGCTTCTACACTCGATCACAGCTGGGGTTACCTCCTGTCAGAGACAAAACACACTTGCCTGGGTTGGATGGCTGGATGGTGTCTTGCAGTGTAAGCTAGGAGAGCAGAGGACACAAGTACATCATAATTAGCGCATAACCTCAGGCAGCTTTGTAGTTCCTGAAATGCAAGGGCTAAATTCTGTTCTGCTGCACGGGTAATGTCTAAGGTGAGTCCTTTAGCTTCTCTGAATTTATAGTAGTGTAACTGAACACTGTTCCCTGAGAGCTGAACAGCTGTCTGGTATGGAGCTGGAACTGGCAGGTCGGCAGGTCTAAAATGGTGCTGCCAAAGGGAAACCCATCATATATTTTATTGTGTTGCCCATCAGATACACTCAGAAGCAAAGCAACAAAGCCCAAGAATTTCTGGGTCACCATAGCAAAACTCAGGAGGGAGTAAGGGCACAGGAGCTCTCCCACACCCTTTCTGAGCATTTTGGTTGATGCCGTTAATTGCAGAGGAGCTGCTGCAAATACTTCTGAAAGCAAATATTTGATGTCCCCATCCAGTAGAAAATGAGTGGGAGAACCAACTGCCTGCCTGCTCACCTGGTCATCTCGACAAAGCCAAGCCAGGGCTGAGAATAAATAGCAACGACTCCTGAGCTTTTGTAGACAGCTTGTCTGAAACAAGAGCTGTGCGGAGAGCAAACACCACCTGCGCAGGAGGAGCCGCACGCAGGCCGAACAAAGGCAGCAGGGGCTGGTGGGCAGCGAATGTTTGTGCAGCCGTTGGTCTCCAGGGAGGGGCTGCTGGCAGAAGCGAGAGGAAGATGTTATCTCCATTAGCCCATGCTAATGCCATGCTAACACGAGGAGCAAAACAGCCAGTGCCCTGCTTCCCCAGGAGTCAGGGGCGCAGCCGCCTGGTGTCACGCAGCAGGAGCTGTGCCTTGAAGCACCAGGGCAGCCTCCTGAGAGGGTCTGTTCCTTGTACAGGTGGCCACCAGCAGGTCTGCCTCACTCCCAGCACCCTACATTCACCCCAGTTCCCCGTAGAACAAGCAGCCAGGTGAGATGCTCCTTGCCAAGAGCAGGCTGAGGTATGTGGATTGAGGTTATACTCAATAAACCCAAGACAGAGGAAAAGCTGCAGGGCTTTAAGGGCAGCTTCTGGGCTATCCATACCACAGCATTTCACCCAGCCCAGGAAAAAGTACTGATGGGTTAGGCCACAGGTCCCGTGAATGGCCCCAGGAGGCTGTTGGCAGTCCATAATGTGAGCATCTTTGTTTCACACCTCTACCCACCGCAGTGTGAATGCTGCTAAGGAAACCAGCACCGCATTTTCCAAGCTGTGAAGGGAAATAGTATGTTCTTCACATGCTCTGGTTGGGCATACACACGTCCCAAATACCCATTGGCTAAGTGATCTGCTTTTGGATGCTGGATTTTATTTTTTTCTTTGAGCCTTCTCAAACTTAGGATTCATCAAATGGAAATGATCTCATCGCATTACAGATGAATTACAGATTTGCTTTCCTGGGAAACTAAACTTCTGGTATAATCATGGGAAAGTCTCACCTTCCCTTTTTTATTTTCCCTTAACCAAGTCTCTATTGAAATTAGCTTGGCAGGCTAGCAGCTCAGAAGCTAAGAGACAAAAGACAACCCTTTGTTACTATT